TCTATGTTAGCTCAGTTATTTTGTCTGAGCAGTTTGGCGGCCTTAATGGCCCTTGTATATATATCTACCTTCTACGTTATTTGATTTAGAAAATATAGTGGTCTTGTCGGCATGCATAAGATATTATTATTATTGTGAAATGTTAGGTCAGCTGAATATCTGCGCAGGTATTTATATTGCGGCCTTGTTGGCCAAGCGCTTCTTTAAGCCAAGATATACTTGATTGTTTTCTTGATTATGTGTTGCTGGTGTGCATCAGAGGTGTATATGTCTAGCTAAGTCAACTCAGGATCCAGTGTGGTATCAGGTGCCAATTATCCCTCCTAGGATGGGGCGTGACATCAAATCACCACCCAACAAATTTAGAAGTAAAGATAATATGCGAAAGTAAAATATTAACAAATTTAAAATCTTAAACAATATTTAATAGAAAAAAGTACAAAAAAGTAACAAAATATAACCCCAAGACTCGATGTCAGTGTACAAGAGTGACCACGAATAGAAAAATTGTTCAACAACTGATAAACTTTCTGAAAAATGAAAATATAAAAAAGTAAAGGATAGAAAGAGACTAGCGCTACAAATCAACTTGGCAACTAACTAAAATATCTCTAGAAGTAAAATCTCGGGCTTAAACAATCAGCATGGCCCACTCATTCTCGGAGTACAGTCTGCATAAAAAAGAGTGCAACAAGTGTAGTATGAGTATAAGAAGCATGTGTAATCAATAGGAATTATAGGAAGACAAAACTGAAGTACCGATAATCATATCAAGCATGAAATTTACCTCAACCATATCTCCTTAGAACGTACACAATTCAATTGAAATAACAAAAAGAAGTCAGGTATTCAAGTATCATCAAGATAGATAGTTTATATGAATTCAAATAGCTGAGATGTTATGCAATGTAATGCAGATGCACTAATCAATAATCAATCTGTATATTCACACGCTTTCACTGGTGGGCTTGCCGAGAGTGAAAACCCATGGGAACTCGTGAGATCTATATACTCCACCTGGAAATATTTCCTATCGGGTGCCTTAGTCTATTTTAGGGTCTATATAATTTTCATCATCTACCTGAAATCATTTCCCATAAGGTACCTCAGTTCATATGGATTTTAATATCATCACTCCTATCAATTCAGGTAAACATGAACCCCTCTTACCATATACATGTTATCCATCTCAAATCAACATAACTAAATGATCACAATAAGCATAATATTAATACATGCAATGCATAAATTAGCATATAGTATTTCAATAGTGCCCTTTTAAAAAATCATTATAATAGTATAGTATGTAGACATGCATAAAGTGATGCAAATAGCACATAAGCAATTCAAATCATATACTATCCATCAGCTAAGTCCCAACCTAGATTTAAAAATAAAATGTTATTCTTTCAATATATCAACAACAAAGTACCCTTCATAATTCATCAGTGCCTGTACAAGTTTTAATCACTTTCACGAATACGCGACCCTCAGCATGCCATAAACCCCCCATACTTAATATAAATAATCATCTCCCAAACAAAGTCTAGAAGATAAAACCATAACCTACCTCGAATGTCGAGCAAACGTGTCATGAACCCTCACAAAAGTGCCTTTCCTTTTTGAATCACCTCAAAATATTCTCAATTTATCAAAAATATACCCTACTGAATACATGAGTCTATTGATACCCATGTTGATATACTTCCATCTCGGGTGCAACAAGTCAACCCAAAAGTCAATCTCTAGCCCAAGGTCAAAACAGTAACTTTATTTCAATATCAGTTTACCCACAAAACAATAGTCTCAAATCAATAATTTCATTAAAAATTGAGGTCGAATCATCCTCAAAATCATCAAAATATAATTTCTCAATTTTAGGTACAAAACCCCCAATTTCTAACACCTAAACACAAATTAATCACAAAATAAATGATGAAATTGTGTCAAAATACTAAATATAAAGTTAGATTCTTAGCCCCGGCCAAAATGAGCAAATCTCCCTTGAAATCACCAAAATTCGATTTTCCAAACTCTAAAAATCGAAATATGAAGTCTAAGTTGAAATAAGAATTTTATTTGTTCAAGTAAAATTTGTTCTTCACGAATGCATCCTAGTCACACAAACGTGATCATCTGCCCTAGGCCAGCTTCTTCCCGAATGTGAAGCACATCCCGACACGTGACTCGAATTTGCCTAAATCCCATTCTTTGCGAATGCAACAAACTATTCGCGAATGTGAAGACAAGACTTTATTACTCTTTTTCTAATGTGGCCACTACCTCGCAAACGCGTAGATGGAAACCAGTTGCACCAGTCGTTGGTGTATCAACAATGAACAAATTTTCATTTCACCCCTTGAAACTCTTCTGGAATCCCCCATATGAACACAAACCATATATGAAAATCAATCTTAAAATATATTACAAACCTGTTGGAATCATCAAATCATCTATCCAAGTCCATCTTGACCAAATATTGACCGTAGACAATCCCAAATTTTCAAAATGATTAGAATACAATCAATGACCTAAATTACTCCTAAGTGCCTCAGAATTCATGCAAAAGATCCAAACAAGTCATAAATAGCCTTAGAACCTAATGAAATCATCAAATATCAAATTCTACCTCGTTAACTCAAAAGGTTGACTTTAATCAAACTTTCAAAATTGAAAATCTTTTTGAAACACATCCAATAACCTCAGAAATCATGCCACCTATCCTCGAAGTCATAAACAGTTAGAGAAAGCTATGGGGAGGGTCCTATGAGAAAAAGATATTAAAAGCACAAAATTACCATGTGGATCATTACGTCATCCACCACTAAAATACACGTTCGCCCTCAAACAGAAAGAAAAAAAGTACCTAAATGGTTAAAAGTTGGGGATATCTGCTTCACATGTCCAACTCAGTCTCCATTTGGATTCCTCCATCGGATGATGCCTTAATTGCACCTTCATAAATGCCATCACTGGTCAGGATGACAGGGAAGGGATATAACTCAACGGTAGAGTGTCACCTTAATGTGGTGAAAATCATCAGTTCGAACCTGATTATCCCCAAGCCTAATGTGATTTTTTCTTGTTGGATTTGCTTCTCTATCGTCATTCAATGAGAGAATGAGAGGCTCGTGGGATTGAGATAAGGGGGTAGGGATAGCTATATCTTTGGGAGAAAACTCCAGGCAAATATGAAGCACATGGATACAAGTTATACCTTAGAGTGAAAAACAATTTCAAATCCACTTTATCTGCGAACAAGGAAGCTATAAATAATGCAACTATGAATCTCATGGAGAATTCAATCCTGGCTCAGGATGAACACTGGAGGCATGCTTAACACATGCAACTTTCAAATCTGCCTATTCAAAATAGTTATAGCTTCCTCCTCAAATATTAAATTCTGATCCAACTACACCAAGTCCTATTGAATGACATAAGAACCATCAGAATGGTATTTCTTTAATATCGAGACATGAAATAATAGATGAACACATGATAAACCTGGAGGCAAAGCAAACTTATAGGTCACCTTACTAGTCGCTGCAACACCTCAATGGACCAATGTACCTTAACATGAGCTTGCCCTTCTTTCCAAACCTCATGACACCTTTCATAGGTGAAACCTTCAGCAAAACCTTCCCAGCAGACCATAAACTCTAGGTCACGAACCTTTTGATCTATATAACTCTTTTGTGTACTCTGAGCCATGAGAAGCTGCTCCTGAATCAACTTGACCTTGTCTAAGGAATCTCTCAACAAGTCAGTACCTCAGGGCTTAACCTCAAAAGCATCAAACCAACCAACTAGAGATTGATATTCTCTACCATACAAGGCCTCAAATAAAGCCATCTGGATGCTAGAATGATAACAATTATTATATGCAAACTCCCAAGAGATGGTCCCAATAACCTAGAATGTCCTCTAGGACATGAATAATCCGCTCAAATTGACAATCTATCTATGAGTGAAAAATTGTGTTGATCTCTACCCGAGAACGAAGCTCCTTTTGCGATCGACATTTTCTACCATACAAGGCCTCAAATAAAGCCATCTGGATGCTAGAAAGATAACAATTATTATAAGCAAACTCCATTAAAGGCAGGAGACGTCCCCAATAACCTAGAATATCCTCAAGGACATGAATAATCCGCTCAAATTGACCATCTATCTATGGGTGAAAAATTGTGTTGATCTCTACCCAAGAACGAAACTCCTTTTACAAAGACCTCCAGAAAAGATATATGAACTGAGTATCCCAGTCTGAAATGATAGAAATAGGCACCCCATACAAATGGACTATCTTCTGAATATAAATCATGGCTAATCTCTATGAAGTGTAGGTAGTCTAAACTGGATTAAATGAGCCGATTTTATCAACCTACCCATAATGACCCAAATATCATCAAACTTATTCAAAATCTGTGGCAACCCTACCATGAAGTCTATAGCAATTTGCTCTCATTTTCACTCAGGTATCAATGGCA